GACCCCAGTTCTACAGGAACCATGCAGCGGATGCAGAGTGAGAAGAGTATCCTGGATGAACCAGACTCTCCGATAGAGGTTAGACAAATCTATGTGCTTCTTTGGTGCTTTTTCTGAGTTAGGTGATAACTCAGAATTTGTCATGCCTTTGTTTTCAAGTTCAGTTATATACATGGGACCTGCTGAAAACATAATAGGTTTTTGCTCAGTATAGACAGAGTTTTAAACAATTTATTGACTGAAAACACAGTCTCCACTTTCTACAAAAATGAAGGTACATGTGTTTCATCTTGTATGTGATTGCATTCGTTTGTTCGTTTTTACAATATAAGGTTCATTCTAAACAGAACATCTAAGTCAGTAAAAGATTTCTCTTCTTTTTCAATATTTGCATAGCAATTGTTATGAGATAACTTTTTTTAGTTCTTTTAACCATTTTATTCATGTATTTAGTTAGAGTCTATGGAATTCTCAAACAAATTAATTCGAAGGCACTAATATATGTTGAACTGTCCTTGAAGACATGGGGTTGATGTGAAGAAAAATTGGTGGAAGACAGTAATAATTACCTTCACTTTACATACACATATATAGTCAGATTTTCAGACACATATTTTACCACCAAATGTCGAAATGAGGGTTGGTGATGCTGAGGTAATTTATTTTATGGTCAAAATGCACCTGACCACAGAGAGAATAACTTTGAAATGTTCCTCTGTATCTGCTCAATAACATGACCAGAAAGCAATCTAGTTCTGAATCCAATTGGAAATTCACGAGATAAACCAAATAAATATCTCTGAAAGAGAGCTTCAACCTGCAAATATATTCTGTCAGGTGCCACTTCAGGAATCAAGCTGATTGATTCAGTCTTGTGTGTTTGATTAGAGGAGTATGTTCCTCAAAGGATACAAACTGCCAGAAATATTACAGTCAACTAAATTAAATACAGTGAATGCTTTTTTTAACTTATAAATTCATACTTTTTGCCACAATTGAAGGATTTCAGTGCTTGTTTCAGTTCCACTTCATCTTAAAAGGTGGAAATGTATGGTCTTTATATATTCCAGGCCACCATACCTATCAGCTATTAATTAAATGTAGGACTTTGTTTCAATTCATATGTGATTTCCTTTTTTTCTTCACAAAATATAAAAATTGAATGAACATAACCTCAGTCCACTGCTCACATATGTTATCTTAGAAGTTATAATTCTGTTCATACAAAATCTAATTGTATAGATGAAACAACAAACTCCTTTGGGTGAGACGTTGTTTTCTTTTATAGTTTTAGTTGTTCTTCTTTTCGCTTTTCCCGACAGTGAGCCATTCTATGAGGATAGCTCATGATGATGTTCTGCAGTTTTATGTTATGAACTCATAGGGCCGCTGTTGACCAGAGTCTTGAGGACTGAGTGGTCTTTAACAGCGCCTCCCATGAAACGTCGACATTATTTAGAGACAGAAGGAAGAGCCACAACGAACGCCCTGAATAGGTAGACTATCGACGACATTAGAAAGCAGGCTTGGACTTAATTCAATTTCTAGTTTGGACTTTTTTTTCAAAACTGATAGCCGACCCAGGATTGGATTCCAGTTCGCTCCAGGCTTTGCTGCTTTATGGATGTTTGCTGAGAAATACGCCGGCAGAACAATGAAAGGACAAACGCCGTTGTTTCTTGCTCTCCTTTTATTCGGATTTGTAAAAGGACAAATCAGCTACACCATGCCAGAGGAAATGCAGAAAGGGTCCTTAGTTGGAAACATAGCACAGGATTTAGGTGTAGAAACTAGACGTTTAATCTCTGGAAAAGCTCGAATTTATACCCGAGAAAGCGGAGATTTCATCGTGCTGAACAGGGAGAGAGGTGTCCTCCTTGTTAAAGAAAGAATCGACAGAGAGGCGCTTTGCAAAAAGACCACACCGTGTGCTTTACATTTTCAAATCATTTTAGAGAATCCGATGGAATTTTACACAGTCACAGTTCAGATCACAGATATAAATGACAATCCACCTAATTTCGAGGGAGAAAAAGTTGAATTTAGAATTAGTGAATCGGCAGTAATCGGGGCAACATTCGTGCTCGAAAGGGCTGTGGATTCGGATGTTGGGACGAATGATCTTCAAAGGTATGAACTGAAGCCCAAAGAAAATTTTGATCTGAAGCTTCACAGTAACGCTGATGGAAATAAGAATGTCGAACTGGTTTTAAAGAAACCTTTAGACAGAGAGAAAGAAGAGCAGATATCTCTCGTGCTAACGGCTGTAGATGGAGGAGAGCCGCAGATGTCCGGAACAATGCTGATTGTCGTCACTGTTTTAGACGTTAATGATAATGCTCCTGTTTTTACTCAGAAATCATACAAAGCTACAGTTACAGAGAATTCACCTACAGGCACCGT